ATCATCTCCCAAACCATCCACAACCTCATCACTTCAGGTGACCTCCCACCCACAGCCTCCAACCTCATCGTTCCCCAACCCCGCACCGCCCGGTTCTATCTCCTTCCCAAAATCCACAAATCTGACTGCCCTGGTCGATCCATTGTCTCTGCCTGCTCCTGCCCCACCAAACTTATCTCCACCTATTTCGACTCCATTTTCTCCCCCTTCGTCCAGCAACTCCCCACCTACGTCTGTGACACCACCCATGCCCTCCACCTCCTCCAAAACTTCTAATTCCCTGGTCCCCAACACCTCATCTTTACCATGGACATCCAGTCCCTATACACCTGCATTCCCCATGCAGATGGCCTGAAGGCCCTCTGCTTCTTCCTGTCCCGCAGGCCCGACCAGTCCCCCTCCACTGACACCCTCATCCGCTTAGCCGAACTCGTCCTCACCCTCAACAACTTCTCTTTCAATTCCTCCCACTTCCTACAGACAAAGGGGGTGGCCATGGGTACCCGCATGGGCCCAAGCTATGCCTGTCTCTTTGTAGGTTATGTGGAACAATCCCTCTTCCGTAGCTACACTGGCCCTAAACCCCACCTCTTCCTCCATTACATTGATGACTGCCGCCTCGGGCTCCCATGAGGAACTCGAACAGTTCATCCACTTCACCAACACCTTCCACCCCAACCTTAAGTTCACCTGGACCATCTCTGATACTTCTTTCTCCTTCCTGGACCTCTCTGTTTTCATCTCTGGCAACCACCTAGAAACCGATATCATTTCAAGCCCACAGACTCCCACAGCTACCTAGAATACACCTCCTCTCACCCACCTTGCTGCAAAAATGCCATCCCCTATTCCCAATTCCTTCACCTCCGCCGCATCTGCTCCCAGGATGAGGCATTCCACTCCCAAACGTCTCAGATGTCCTTGTTTTTCGAGGACGGCAACTTCCGCCCCTCAGTGTTCGAGAACGCCCTCGACCGTGTCTCCCGCATTTCCCGCAACTCATCCCTCACACCCCCTCCCCGCAATAACAACCAAAACAGAATCCCCCTCATCCTCACGTACCACCCCACCAACCTCCGGATCCAACGCATCATCCTCCGGCACTTCCGCCATCTGCAATCCGACCCCACCACCAAAGACATTTTTCCTTCCCCACCCTTATCTGCTTTCCAGAGGGACCACTCTCTCCGTGACTCCCTTGTCCGCTCCACATTCCCCTCCAGCCCCACCACACCCGGCACTTTTCCCTGCAACCGCAGGAAGTGTTACCCCTGCCCCTACACCTCTCCCCTCACCCCCATCCCAGGCCCCAAGAAGACTTTCCACATCAAGCAGATGTTCACCTGCACATCTGCTAATGTGGTATACTGCATCCGCTGTTCCCGTTGTGGCCTCCTCTACATCAGGGAAACCAAGCGGAGGCTTGGGGACCGCTTTGCGGAACACCTACGCTCGGTTTGCACTAAAGAATTACATCTCCCAGTCGCGAACCGTTTCAACTCCCCTCCCATTCCTTAGACGACATGTCCATCCTGGGCCTCCTGCAGTGCCACAATGATGCCACCTGAAGGTTACAGGAACAGCACCTCATATTCCGCTTGGGAGCTCTGCAGCCCAATGGTATCAATGTAGACTTCACAAACTTCAAAATCTCCCCTCCCCCTACCGCATCCCAAAACCAGCCCAGCTCGTCCCCACCTCCCTAACCTGTTCTTCCTCCCACCTATCCCCTCCTCCCATCTCAAGCCCCACCCCCATCTCCTATCTACTAGCCTCATCCCGCCCCCTTGACCTGTCCGTCCTCCCTGGACTGACCTATCCCCTCCCTACCTCCCCACCTACACTCACCTTTACTGGCTCCATGCCCGCCTCTTTGACCTGTCAGTCTCCTCACCACCTATCTTCTCCTTTATCCATCTTCTATCCACCTCCCCCTCTCTCCCTATTTATTTCAGAACCCCCTTCTCCTCCCCCATTTCTGAAGAAGTGTCTCGGCCTGAAATGTCAGCTTTCCTGCTCCTCTGATGCTGCTTGGCCTGCTGTGTTCATCCAGCTCTACACCTTGTTATCTCAGATTCTCCAGCATCTGCAGTTCCTACTATCTCTGAAAGGTTTTGGAGGTACTGTCTAAGGAGCCTTGGTGAATTTCTGAAGTGTATCTTGTAGATAGTACATGCTGCTACTAGATGTGGTGCCAATCAATTGGGCTGTTATATCCTGGACGGTGTCAAGCTTCTTAAGCATGATTGGAGCTGCACTCATCCAGGCAAGTGGGGAATATTCCATCACACTCCTGATTTATGCCTTGTAGTTAGTGGACAGGTACTGGGGAGTTAGGAAGTGAGTTACTCACTGCAGGATTCTTAGTCTCTGATGTGTTCTTATAGCCACAATATTTATATGATTGGTCCAGTTTATAATGTTTGTGAGCCTGTGTCCAGCATCGATGACTGTAAAGTGTGACATGAAATCGTTCTTATGATGTATCAACCTTCTAAGATCCAATTAACAATATCATGAGGACTTGGTGAGGATTGAGGTTTCTGTCCGTCCCTTAGAGGGTGTATGCTTTGTCAAGACTGTAAGGGGTGTGACATTTGGAGAGATGATCGTGCAGGAAAGGAGCCAATCTGTAAGGAGCAAAAGCCAATCTATAAATGTCTGTCACTGGAATCATTACCGGATACTGTATGAGTGATTACTGATGTTCTTTCATACCTATGAAAGTCGCATATGATATAAACTCATAAGTTATGCAGAGTGTGAGTTTAGTTTTGGTAATCTATAAAAAGCAAAAGAATTAAAGTGATTATTCATTCTCAGCAATCTATTCTGTTATGTTATCTTATACTTTAAAGTTCAGTCTGAACTGTTTCTAAATGGTTGACATTTTATTGCATGCTTTTGATTTTACCACATCGTAAAGAGGGCCGTTGATTTGTTGATTTTTCATTCATTCATATACCGGGAGTCATCAGCAACACAAGAAGTGTCAGTCAGACCCACCCTGTCACTGTGAGGCATACTGTTCTTTTTCAAATAGACACATTGTCAACCTCGTTAGCTTTCAAGACTTTTTGAGTTTGATCATTGTTGGTTCTGCTGATGTTACAGACTTTAACACATTGTTACTTAGGTAAATGAAAAAGGTGACCATCAAAAATTGGAGTTGACATATTGTTCACCCCATTAATTCCCAAGACCATTGAGATGCAATTTTTATGTTGGCTGTAGAAATGAATAGTGTGCCCACTCGAATGGATCTAGAGATTGCATAAGTATGCAAATTGGGAACTTCCAGCACTACTTTTGTTGACGACTCCATTGTTGCTAAATTGTCAGGCTGCTTATCTAACATCCAAAGCTGAATGCACAACAACTTCCTCCAATCAAATATTAGGACTGAAGCCATTAATTTTCGTTCCCTCCCCACCTCTGCCTCAAAATCCATTCCATAATTACTGACTCCATGTCTTTATCTGACAACACCCTAAGATGAAGGCAGTTCACAATCTTGGTATCACCTTAGATTTCGAGATAAACTTCAACATCATATTTGTGCCATCAAAAAAAAAACCTATTATCATCACTGTCACCTGATATTTCCCTTGTCTCAGCTCATCAGTAGCTCACACTCTCTTCAGTACCTTTCTTAACTCTGGACACAACTATTTCAATGGACTCCTATCTGGTCCCATATATGAACCTTGGTAAACTTGACATCTCTGCCTGAGTCTTGATTCAAAACAGCTCCCTTTCATGTATCAACTCATATGCTACTGACCTACATTGGCTCCTAGTCTACATGAACGGAGCAAGGAAGTGTGAATCTCCATTTCCAATCAGTTTGAGAATTTTTTACTTCTTTACAGGCTCTAACATTAAGTGGGATGGAAGGGTGGGGGTGTTAGGGGGAGGTGGTGAATAAGAGTTATAGCAACCAGGAGATGAAATTTGATTTGGAAACTTAGAGGTCCAGGGTTCTCTGCATGCTGTGACATTCTGACTCCACAATGTATGTCATGTTTTTATTGAATGATGCCTGTCCAGAAGTTAGCTTGATTGACAGGCTTTATACTCAGTCCAGTGAGGGGCATCTCAGAGCAAGCTGCAGGTCTGGGGAACGGGCCATAAATTTATATTAGGTTGGTTTTATGGTTGGTATTTTTTAAAATTACACCATCTCACCCCTTTCTAAAGAATGAGATTTTTGTGTGGAGAGGGGGTGTTAAGATACACCATGAAATGTCTGACTTATGAAGTGTCACTTAGGGTATTTAATTTAATGCCAAAATCATTAGAGAAAGTGAAATTAAAAGCAGGCAAGAAAGATTGGATTAAGTGAGGGATAAAAGATAGAAATAAAAAGTATTTTAAAAATTTAATATTTTTGAAAATTTTTGAAGTCTGGTGGAATGAAACCCAACGTATGTAGAAATCAATTTTCAGTGCTAAAGAGATTGGCAGTAATTAAGACATCTTGCACCTTGAGTTTATACATGAATGGACAACACCAATTTCTTTTCTCTGGCAAGTTTAGGTTCCCTTCATGTAAGTACCACAACATGTGCTTCAATGCAAATCTCTCTATCCGGAGATGACTTCATGTTAAGTTTTCTCGTGGGAAGAGCGATTCATATAGCAGCTTCCTGATTATCATGGTCAACTTTACATGCACAGTCATCAGATATTTCTGCCTGAACCAGACATTTCTGTCTGATTTACTCTTTAATACTGGTGAGGGTTTTTATATTGTGTCATTTCTTGAGCAGAATTGTGATGACATAAATCATTTTGAAAAACATCATTAAATTGCTGATATAATTATTATGACATCCTTATAAACGTGTACCCATTGCATAAAAATCTACACAGATTCTTTAGCCTCTCTTTAACATAAACTGTACCATTAAGAAATCCATTGTAATTTATCATTAATGTAATGGCTAAACGTGGTACATGCCATCAGCTAGACTGTTTGTTTCTGTCTCCACCCACAGGTTATTGCAGAAGAAATAAGTGGAAACAATGGCTATGTTGAATTGGCCTTCTGTGCCAAGAAACTGGATGATAAGGTACAGTAGATTTTCAGGCACTTAGTTTGATAGAATGTATAAAACAAGCACGTTATAAAACTGAAATTCTCAATTGCGTGAAGCAGTTCTTTTTATGGTACAATCTCATTGCATAAGTGCCTCAATTTTTAAAGAAACATTCATTTTTGATATTATTGTTTCCTTTATGTAAATTCAATAAAGCAGGATATGAATATCAAATATCACTAAAATAATTAAAGTGCTCAAGAGAAGTGATAATTAAACTTTGCTAGTTTGTTGATTCTGAATAACATTGCGTGCAATAATGTTTTCTGCAAATCATCATTCTTACTTTAATTTAAGATTCATATTTCATTTCAAAGACAGCCATAACTACATTTTAATAAGTTCTATGCAAAGTTCATTTTGGAGGATAAGTCAAATAGATCTCCCCCTTGCAAACAGACAGATTTGAACATGATCTAAACAGGCTTCTCACTTTGTAGCAAGAAAATAGGACGGATTCCATTTATATCAGCTTTTCACCAAAGACAGATTTTTCCAAATACCATTGCATTTGTTAACCTTTACCCAGTTTGTCTGTTAAACAAATAATTTACTTGTATAATAACGAGGGCTGTTTTCCTGCTTTTACACTATCAAAGTACTCAAGGTAACACAAAGGGTGAGTTTCCCTGAATATGGCACCTTTAACTGCTGTCACTTCAGTGGAGCTTTGATGACCATCTTGTTTACACCACAGAATTCCCAGCTTCTGATCTGCTGTTATAGTTGCAGTATTTATATGTTTGGTAGAGTTTGCTTTCTGGTTAATGGTGACCCAGTCCAGGATATTGATAGTCAGGGAATTCAGTGGCAACAATTGAGTTGTATGGCACAAGGAGATGGTTAGAATCTCTTCTTGAAAATGGCTATTGCCTGGGACTTGTGAGATGCGAATGTTACTTGTACTTTGCAGCTCAGGCCTGTACATTATCCACTTCTTGCTGCATGTTGGCATGGACTGGTTCATTGTCTGAGAGCCACAAATGGAACTCAGCACTGTACAATCTGCATTACATTATGATGGAAGGAACATCATTGATGAAGTCACTAAAAGTGGTTGGGCCTAGAGCACTACCCTGAGGAATTCCTGCTATGGTGCCCTGGGTCTGAGTTGATTGGTCTCCAACTCCATGACCTTTGTGCTAGTTACAAATCCAGCTAGTAGAAATTTTTCTCCCTGATTCTAATTGACTTTAATTTTACTATGGCCCCATGATGCCATATTTAATTACTTCCTGCCTTGCTACCAAAGGCAGTCACTTTTGTCATACCTTTGAAATTCAGCTATTTGGTTCATAATTGAATTAAGACTACAGATAAAGAATAAGGATAAGTCAAGGTCAGGAGATGAATCACCCTAGTAAAGCCCAAACAGAACTTCAATCAGCATATATTGTTGAGTAAGTGCAGCTTGATAGCATGTTAATGAGACTTTCCACCTTTGCTGAGGATCCAATGTTATTTGGTGAGGTGGTAATTGGCTGGATTAGATTTCTCCTGCTCTTTATGGATGAGAAATACTTGGGATAATTTACCACTTTTTTGGATAGGTGTCAGTGTTGTAGTTGAATTGAAATAGCTTGGCTAGAGGTCTGACTGGTCCTTCACCATTACAACAGGGATTGCCAGACTTTGCTGTGGGTGTTATCAAATCAACCTATTCAGAGATGTTATTGATCTCCTCTGAAGCAGGTGGGATTTGAACCTAAGTCTCCTAGCCCAGAGGTAAGGACACTACCATTGTGCCACAAGAGCCCTTGATCTTTGCATTCAATGCATTTAGCCATTTTCTTAATATCATATGGAGTGAATTGAATAGGCTGATATCTGGCATCTGGGATAGTAGGAATGTCAGGAAGGAGTTTACATTTTCTTTTGTTGTATTGTCTAACTCCATTTTCCTTAATTAATTTGTGTTCTATGTAAAATTGGATAGCTCATCTGTCCCAATTGCCATTTCAAGACCTTGATACACATTTGGTCAACTGATCTTGGTAATAGCAGACTCTTCTCCATATCATTTCAGGATCTTTTCAGCAAATCAGATCCCTTCTTGGAGATATACAGGATTAATGATGATGAGTCTGAGCAACTTGTCTACAGGACAGAGGTGTGTGGAATGCTTTAGAAGAACATCTAGGATTACTGTACAGTACACAAATCATAGGAAACAAGAATAAAATTCTTTACTCAATGATAGAATTAATATGAAATATGAAATTTCAAGCCTATGGGTAAACATGCTTAAAGCAATAGTAACTAAGTTACATGATCTATTCAGAAAGAAACATAATAGAAAATATTCATTTCAAAGTATTGCTTTTATATAACTATAATATTTACAGCTCTTTAAATGTTTGTTTTTTAACTATGAATTCCTCGTTCCTAATCTTAAATTATATTTCAATTTTGACTAACTATTTTCCTTGATTCTCAACGAGCAAAAATGGCTGCCAATTGTATTGGAGTCGATGAAAGATGGAAAATTGCCTAAAAAGTGAAGCCTGAATTGTGTTCCTTGGTCACTCGAAGAACAGTCCAGAGAAATTGACCAAAACTCCTAATCCCTCCAAACATGTGAAATGGCATGGCAATCAATTTACAACAGTGAAACATCACAGTTTTACAATTTTAATTATTTATCTTAGTTAAACTGAATGTTTGGTATATATAAAATTAAACATGCACATTCTGATCAGTGGTTTTGTTTGTAATATCCTTGCTGAATGCTGTAACAATTTACATGAAGTGCAATGATATATCCTTCAAAAAAAATCACATTAATGAACTTATGTATTTAATTGAGGCTTGGTGCATTTATTACAAATTCAAATCTGAATACCTGCACCCTTCAAAATCAAGCACTTGTCAGGAATAAATTTTCTACGCTCAAATGATGTTAGAACATTTAGCAAAACAGGCCGTACATTTTACGCACTTAAACCCAAGAAGATTGCTAATGATATGATGATAGTCCATGGTCTAGATTGCTTTGATGTTGTGAAGACCGCAAAATAAATGACACTAACAAAGAAATTTTAGTGTTCTCGTCACTCAAATCCAGCAGGCTAGTATAATGTGTGTCACCTTTATCTCCAGAATAATAATTCAATCCCTTTAATTCCTCATTTATGAAGTAAGGGAGGTACAAAGACTAATGAACAAATTCCATTACTAGCCTAAAAAGACTGTATTTAAAATGAATACATATGACAATCCTCATTACAACTGTCAATAACAGAACTAAATCATTTTCCAAACTGCTTATTAAATTTTTTGACATGGAGAGTGTCTCAGTTTGCAATTAGTCTATGCCTAAGATACACATTTACATAAATGTTGGAATTTTTTAAAAGTTAACTGGTGATCTTCACATTTAAAGAGAAGTACGGAAAACTGACTTGGTAAAGTAGACTAAATGCCAACTCAACATGACAAGGGCGGCCATCAAAATGTTGAGATTATAAGACCTTTTTTCACACTATGACTTGTTATGATTAGATGTGTATTACAACTTTCAGGCAGTTGTGCATTTCTAAATAGAATTGGCTAATACTTGGAGCAGAAATCTTTGCAGGACAATGCGAAATGTATGAGAATGGAACTCATTAGAAAGCTCTTCTGAGCAATCTGAGCTGAATGTCCTCCTAATGTTTTATCATTTCATGATTGCATAACATGTCTCCCTGTATTTTCCTTTAAATCTATAGGTAGATTCCCTAAATGTGTAAAATTTTGCATTAATTGTTAATGACCTGTTCAAAATAAAATTGGTAAGAAGACGTGCAAGAACTTTATATGAGCATATTAATGATTCATTAAACATTGTAGGAAGTGGCCTGACCAGCTACCAGTTGTTACAGTCTTAAAAGCAAATTCCCCCAATAATTCAGTTTGAGATCATGGAGCATGAATAGTATCTGCAAATTAATTTACTTCTGTGGCCAACAGATTGAGCGTGAAGTGACTAGTTTTCTACACAAGGGAGGGGGTAATTTTCAGTTTTCTTTATAATCATTTGGTTTGCACTCTCATTTAATTTGCACATTGAGTTTGTCAGTGGTACATTGAACTCATCCGAATCACATACAGTAAGAATACGTTGGGTTGTGTTTTATGGGATGCCACATTCCTTGCCCCCAATACCTGACAAAAATGTCAGTTTGTGCCCACCCATCAATAAACCAGCTGCTGTGCAGCTATTTTACACTGGAAACAATGTTAATTGTCTAAGGTTGAGATTTATGCCCTTATCTGGGGAGGAAGTTTTGCCTTAGAGAGCTGGTGGCCACTGCTGATACTGTAAATCAGTCCCTGAACAGGAACTGGTTATGCAAAACAAACCGAAAGTGCTAGAGTGATATGGTAGGTCTGGCAACATCTGCAGAGAAAGAAGCAGGTTTTAGAGTCCAATGCTGGAAGGGAGGAAGGCAAAGGCTGACAGCTGTTTAAGGCAAGAGGAGACAGGGCAAGTGATCAACAAAGGAGGTCTCACCTTTTCTCAACACCAGCCAGTTCAGTAAGAGCTGCCATAGCATCTCCCTGGTGAAAGTAAAATAACCACGGAAGTGAATGAAATAGTTAAATGGTCATTAATTGGCCACTTAAAGGCCTCAGTAGACTCAAGGACAGGCCTGGCACCTCCTTTGCCCACTGTATAATTGGAAACAAGCAGGTGGGCATGCGATAAGCAGAGTATGTGATGTATTTATTGAGAACCTACCTTCAAACTTGCCAAAGGGATGCTGTAAAATCATGTCCTTTGTCTTTGTTTTGTGTAGGATTGACTAGACCTGTGTGTGATGTAATGTGTGATTTTTTTTATCTTTATTTTCCACCAGGTTATCAAGAACAACTTGAATCCTGTGTGGGAGCCCTTTAAAGTTTCCTTGAGCTCACTCTGTAGTTGTGATGAAAAGAGACAGCTAAAGGTATAGATTGATGTTGAATATTTACTTCTACATGATGAGCCAAATTAACACATGTTGCCTGTTCAATTGAAGACAGTGTTCTAAACGGAATGTGTTTTTATTGTTTCTTATTGGAAAATCACTTTGTAACCTTTATGTGGACAAAAGTTCAGTTGAAGCTAATCGGTTCCTTGACATGTGTTTCTCTCTTTGGCATTCTAAAAGATTGAGTCAGGATCGATAGTAGGTTGTAACATTTTGAACCAGATTTTCAACTTCTTGCTCAAATGTAAAGTTAATGTTCAAGATTGGCTCATTTTTTAAAAGCCTGCTATTTTGCTATTATCATAGAATCTCTACAGTGCAAATGGAGGCCATTCTACCCATCAAATCTGCACCACCCTTCTGAAGAGCATCTCAACTAGCCCACCACCCTATTCCAGCAATAACTCTTTGCATTAACCATGTCTAACCCACCCAGCGTGCACATCCCTGGACAAGTTAGCATGGCCAATCCACCTAACCTGTACGGGAGAAAACTGGAGCACTCAGTGGAAACCCATGTAGACACGGGGAGAATGTGCAAACTCCACACAGACAACCAAGGCTGAAATCGAACCTGGGTCCCTAGCAGTGTGAGACAGCAGTGTTACCACTGTGCCACACTAAATTATTGCCCGTTGAAATTAGTGACAAGCTAAAAATCTATAGCAAGATGAATAATTTGAATGTACTATAGCCAAGCATCATCAATGGGCACAGCTAATGCTGAGATTTGATACAAATTGCATTTTATTTTTAACTTTAAATCTATCTTTGTTCACAAGCTATGTCTATGCTTGATGATAAGTTAATTTCTTTAGAACGTACAAAATTTCTGTGACTTCCACATGACATTTCCTTTTCCTACTTCTTCACCTCCCTAATGAAACACTCCTGTTTGTCAGTTTGGGAATTACAGTTCTATCAATTAACAAATGTCATTTTTGTGATATTTTGTTCCTTACTTCTTTGCAAGCATTAATCTAACTGTCTACTTAAACCAAAGTTGAGGAAATGTTATACGGTTTGTGTTTGTTTTAGATTTTTAATTGCTTCAATTTGTTTTAGGCAATGATTGCTGATTACCAATATTATTGCTTTAATTCGTATCAGTGATGGTTCAACAATGATTAGTATTATTTCTTTTAATTCTTTTCAGTATTTCTTGGCATTTTTGAAGCAAAATATTCAGTGAAATGGATCTCCTAAGTAGAGTCAGATCTGTTCTGTATTTCTTCTGTCTCTTTGAATCAAAATAGTTTTCTTTGATCATTAGTATTTTCAGATTGTAATTGTACCTGAGAACTTGACAAACTGAATTTCTGAGTGATGAGCATATGTGTAAATTCACAGATTTCCTTTGTTCTATATTAATTAAATAGAACAGCTGTCACCTGTGTCATGCTGATTTTTACCCAGCCAGATAAAACAGCTAAGTCTTAATTGGATACTAGTTAAGCTTCCACTTTGTTTAACAATGTAGTATACTCAGAGCTCTTTTCCCACTTGATCTATCTGCCTGCAATCTTTAATTGTAAGTGGCAAAGGTGCTTGTCCCAATCCAATAGGTCCTCCATAAAAACGCAGACTTTGCTTCATTGACAACCTTAGGGACTGATCTGCCATTCAGCCCTGAAGCTTAATGGGGGGATAGTAACGGCTTCCACGGACAAATCTGTCACAAACAGCAATCAGAAGAAGTCTAACAGTATAATCTAATGATACTTTTAATTTAGTTCCTCATAATCGGGGTGAGGACCCAGAACCAGGCCTACTGTGCTGTGGACATTCCCGATATCAGGCATTCCATCATCTCCCTGGGCTGTGATTCCTCTGCTGAATCCCAGTAATCCACTTGCTTATGTCAGGGAAGAAATCTCTCATCCCCTGGTCACACTTCCCTTTTGCCAGCCAGTCAAGCAGCTAATTCTGTTAATTTGTTCGCTGTTTTGGCTTTTAACCCACATTAGATTTGTCATTCCACCTACTTGTGTTATACGTTGATTCTTGTCATCCAAAGTCCATATTGTCCTCCCAAAATATGTTACTACCCATTTCTCCGCATCAAGTATCATCTGATATTGATCGGCCCTCTGAAGACATCTACAGTCCTCTTGACATTAAAATCTGTTCCCTAGTTTAGGATGATCTGTAAATTTTGAAATTGTTCTCTCTTTACTTGAACTCTGATCATATAATCATTCTGAAAGAAGCAATGATATCAATTGCAACCCTAGGGGAACAGCATTGTTAGCACCTGTCCAATCTGAAAATATTGATAAATCACTGTGTTCTGTCCTTTAAATAACCTCCTATCAAACCAGTATACCTTTAATAATAAATACCTTAAATTTACCAACATACTTTTTGTGCAGCACTTTATCAAACACATTCTGAAAATTTACATATAGGTAACATCTGTGGCATTTCCTTACTAATAAATTCTGATATTTCTACAAGTAACTCCTTGAATTCAACAAAACATGAAAGAAATAAAAGAACAACTGAAGACAAGGACAAAAGCAAAAAAAGAAAATACCGAAAAATACTCAAACTAGAATGAAACATCTCAAAGTGAAAACCTTGAAATATCAAACAGTGCAATAAAATATTATAAATTCTTGGGTGTTAACTGTGCATATACTGTACATTGTGATCAGTTAGCTGAATGGCTGGTTTTCAGTGTCGAGATTTACCAATAGCATGGGTTCAATTCCTGTACCAACTGTGATTACCATGACGCTGCCACCTTCTCAACCTTTCCCCTTGCCTGAGATTTGGTGAATCTCAGGTTAAACCACCGCCAGGCATCTTGCTCTAATGAGAGAGTGGCCGTATTGTCCTCTGGGACTGCAGTGACTGTATCTTTATTATTCATATGTTCAAGTAAAACATAGGAAGGGATGATAGGAGCAGTTTTGTTGTGTTTGTAGCTTTGTCCTGGCATGTCTAAATTTTCAAGTAAATTTGCATAGAACTTTTCTCTTGCATTTCCATATATTTTTGATCAATAGTAGTGGATTGACCCCCATTGCTGTTTATAAAAGGACATTTCTTTTTCAACAATTTCTTTGATGGCAAATAACCAGAGTTCAGACCTCAGGGTAATACAGAAAATCAGTTTCATGAAGTTCATCATTTCTTCAGGATTATTGCGATTGATGCTGTAACTTTGGCAGATGAGTAGGGAAAACTCGTGCTGCATGCAATAATTTCTCTGCCTCCTTAGTACGGTGTGGTGCAATCCTTGAGTATACTAGATTTAATATTATTTGTGCAATCAGCAGTAAATAGAAACCTAAGTTAACCAGCAGTACATTCTCCATGCCAAGTCTGTAGATTTTATATTTCATGCGCCCAGGCTCACTTGTTCCCTTTGAGATAGCAAGAACTGCCAATGCTGGAATCAGAGATAACACACTGTGGAGCTGGAAGAACACAGCAGGCCTGGCAGCATCAGAGGAGCAGGAAAGCTGACGTTTCGGGTCAGGACCCTTCTTCAGAAATGTGTTAGCACTGTGTTATCACTTGTTCCCTTTATCTGCATTGTAATACGTCAGCTATGCCATTGCCCGTCTAATCATTGAAGTTATTTTGGATGTTCTCAATTCCCTTCAGTTCAATCACGGATTCATATGTTGAATGTTAACAGTATATTTTCTAGTATTCATTGGAGTCTTGTTCATGAATAGCATTAACAATGTGGTGAAAACTACTAGTCCCCAGCTAAAGGTCTCACCACTTCTTTGTCACATGTGTTCCGATGATGCCAACTTTGACAAGGGAGCCTCCGAAATGTCCGCCTTCTTCCTCAATTGAGGATTCCCCAGCTCTGTTGTTGACAGGGCCCTCAGCTGGGTCCAACCCATCTCCCATGCTTCGGCCCTCATCCCCTCTTTTCCTTCCTGCAACAGCGATAGGATCCCCCTTGTCTTTACCTACTATCCCACCAGCCTCCGCATCCAGAGGAGCAGGGACCATTCCCTCCAGGACTCCCTGTATCACTCTTCCTTCACTCCCAATGCGTCCCCTACAGCCTTATGACACCTTCTGCTGCAACTGTAGAAGGTATAACACCTGCCCATTTACCTCCTTCCTCCTCAGTATCCAAGGGCCCAAACACACCTTCCAGGCGAAGCAGCACTTTACCTGCACTTCACACAATCTAGTCCACTGCATTCACTGCTGACAACGTGGTCTCCTCTACACTGGGGAAACAAAGCATACACTGGCTGACCACTTCACAGAACACTTGTGTTCAGTTCACAGAAAAGACCGTAAACTTCCAGTTGCCTGCCGCTTCAACAAACCAGTCTGTTCCCTGGCCAACGTCTGTCTCTGAGACAGCAAGAGGTCCCAACCCAAAATGTCAACTTTCCTGCTCCTCTGATGCTGCCTGACCTGCTGTGTTCCTCCAGCTCCACTCTGTGTTATATCTGTCTCAGGCTTGGTGCAGTGTTCCAGCGAAGCTCGGCGCAAGCTGGAAAAACAGCACCTCATATTCCACTTGGGGACTCTGCTGTCTTCTGGACTCAATATCAAGTTCAATAACCTTAGGGTGAGCTCTCCCATGTCCTTACCCCAACCGCCACACACCTGGCCTTGGTATCACATAGTCCACTATTACACACAACCCATTGTTAGCCACTAACAGTCCCCATTAATAGCTATCCACCCTCCTAGCCAGATCATTATCCACTCCTTTGTCCAAATGCACTTCTCTCACTTTGGGCTCTATCTCCACCTATCATTTATTCATTACTCCCTTCCCCAACTCTATCTTTTGCACATAAACCAACATTTTCCTAGCTATCATTAGTTCTGAGGAAGGGTCACTGGATCTGAAACGTTAACTCTGATTTCTCTCCACAGATGCTGCCAGACCTTCTGAGCTTTTCCAGCAATTTCTATTTTTGTCCCACCACTTCATTTCTCTGTCACCATTTAAAGTGTAGAGATAAATGAGCAGAAATGCATCCAATACAGCACCTTAAAGTATGTATATAATGTTCTGCTTGTTTCCAGTGTTTAGTCTGGGATTATGACACTCGTGGAAAACATGATTATATTGGAGAGTTTTATACAACTTTTGAGCAAATGCGGAAAGCAATGGGAGAAAACAAGGTAAATGGTATTAAACCATGATGTTTTGTGAATTCCTATGACTGTGCTGCAATGTGACTGCTCTAAAATAGATAATATTTTAGTTCTGTCCTGTGCCGAAAATCCATGAGGCTAATGTTACATGGTTGAATTTTATATTTGCAGCTTGTAGTAAAACTGAGCTGAATGGTAGCCTCAAAATAGTTAGGATTTTCTCTTATGATTGCAGACCTCCATCCTTACTAGCTGAAATACTCCCCTGTCGTTCTTCCATGATCTTTTGTCCATTAGAATTGGATATTAAAATCAACTCCAATTGGACAGAGAGAGTCATGTAGCAGCTCCCCCATTTAACTTGTCAAACACCTTAGATTCAGGAAGGCTTTCAGTGCACAACTTGCGCCAGCCTTTGTCACATTGGTCCTTTACTTCATCTCTGCAGTAATGGTTTGATTGCAGCAATGTCTGTATTTTGCTGCAGTGTTCCATCTGGATGTGTATGTAATTGCTGCATAATTCAAGAAACTGGTTTGAGATCATGTGAATCAGGGAAATTCAGAGCAAGTACTTCATAGAATAATAAATCCAAAGGAATTGTCAACTTTTACTATTTTTTTAATGTTCTGAACAATTTTCTTTATTCAGCTTTTAAATATCACCTTCTGTGAAAGGAGAATGTTTGCTGACACTCTGAGCCAAAGCCCTGCCATTCTCTCCAACCAGGAACTCAGTGAAATTTCTGCATTCCTCTAGGAGGTGGTGGTAATGTCATAGTGGTAATGCCACTGGACTAGCAATCCAGAAGTCCAGGCTAATATTCTGAGGAAGGGTCACTCGACCCAAAATTTTAACTTTGATTTCTCTCCACAGATGGTGCCAGATGGGTTCAGGTCACACCGTAGCAGATGATGAAATTTGATTTCAATAAATATTTGGAAGAGATATTATGGTGGTCATATAATCAGTGTTGATTGTTGTGAAAAGCCACGTGGTCCACTAATGCACTTCAGGGGAGGACATTTGTTGTTCTTACCTGGTCTGGCCTACATTTAATTCCAGACTCTCAGCAATGTGGTTGATGTTGGCTGCCCTCTGGGCAATTATGGATAAGCAATAAATTCAGACTTAGCCAACAATGAATTTAAAAAAGTCCCAGCTTTTGCACAATCCTGATTTTAATAGTTACACCATTGGACACCCTTTTTCAGCTGTAGTGCCTCAAAATTCTAGAATTCTCCCCTGAGCCTTTCTGTCTGTGTGTCTCTGTCTCTCCCTCTCCTCTCTGTCTCTCTCTCTATTGCTCTCTCCTCCTTTGGAAATGGCCCTTAAAATGTGCCTCTTCTCATTTTAATATCTCCTTATGTGATTTGGCAATGTTTTGTTTACAGTCTCATGTCGGTAGGATTTGTGCCAAACAATAGCACTCAAAGGTATTCAGTGTTCTTTCCTGCTTTGTGCAATAAGTCAAGTTCCCTGTTGCAATTATGTGATGGAGGCTATGACCAGCTGTGTTGGAGTAAACCTGTAGTTTGTTTTTAATTGAGTCATGGAGTTCCCATTTGTTAGTCAGCTAGAACAATAGAATGCTAATTCTTGCCATTCTAGGATCAAGCACTTTACTTTTTTTTTCAAATTACTTACAATCTTTTCCCAAAGTAATTGTATTCCTCAGTTGAGGTTATGGCCCGGCAATTTTCCTGTATATAATGCTGAATATTAAAATATTTTCCTTCTGTTTCAGCCCATAAAGCAGTTTGAGGTGGGAAAGAGATATTATGTTGTGTCTCATGGTCAGTATGTCACTAACCATTAAGAGACATGTTTATGAGATTGTCACTGTATCATAGCATGTGACCTGATACTATAAAGGTCGCAAGTGCCATCTTAAGACTAGAAGCATAGCATGCTACTAAAACATGCTCTTCTGCTGTAACCTAATAGCATAGTATTAGCCCAGAAACATAGATGTGCCCATCAATGTAATAGTTGTGCATATGAGAAATCTATAATAATGTCTATTGGCACCTTCAATATCACATTGTTGATGCCTAGTATCATATTACAAGTGAAGACATAAGCATTGCTGTATCAGGTAAAATTGCCACACTAGAGGCAAAAAACACATAATGGCTAGCAGAGGTGGCTGGCCATAAAGAAAGGACTTTAAGATCTCAATAGTAGATATTTGGAAACCTAGCTGAAGATCAACTCGACAACAACTCTGGATGTCAAAGAATTCAGACAATCAGCAGCATCAGTTTCTAAGAGTGCAGTGGCCATCTAGAGCCGCAGATATATATTGAAGAGCAAGAAGGCAGAAGTTTTTTTCTATTAAAATTAAAGTGCTTTTCAAAATACAGAACATTATGGGATTGTCTTAATTAAAAATAAAAATTGCTGAAGTCACAATACAATCAAAGCCAAAGCCAAAGCCAAAGTTATCTGCTGGTCAATTCTGTATCTTCTGTCTTAAAAAAAGAAAAGCCCCAAATGCCTGCAGTTCAAATTTTTAAAAATATTGCAGTGGAACAGACCTCTCAACATAGCTACAGAGAGAAAACGTAGCTAGAAAAGTCCAGAAAAGTGGTCTTAGACGCTAAGGATTACCTCTGTTTAGACCTCATTCAGTTCTAACATTTTCTTTCTTCAAATTGACACCAAAATGAAAAAAAAGGGAGACAACATTACCTTCCTTGGTGCAGCGGAAACGTACAATTCAAAGACCATAATTTTTTTAAACCGACAAACATCTGGTCCTCAAACAAACTTTCTTAAAGGGACCAAGACCAGTAAAGGGGCAGCAACAACAAAAATAACAGAATAGTCCAGATTAAAAAACTGAACAATAAAAATCAGAGAATGCAAAACTAGTAAAAACAATACAAACAAACATTGCACTGTACTTTTTATTAAAAAAAACTCCAAAGAAAAACATAGGGAAAGCAGTTATTAATGGGCTAGGCATTCAGTGATTGTTTTACCAAAAGACAGCTGTGCATACAATGTACACAGTTTTATTTTACAGATCAAGCAATAGATACCAATAAATGATTTCCAAAAACATTGGTTGCCTTCAGGAAGGAGGGTATCTGCAGGATTAACATGTCTGGTTTATTGATGGATGGTCAGAATGATCCAGAAAATGGCTGGCATGTTCTCAGCATTAACAGACTCCAACTCTTGCCGTACAGACAGCAACCCCAAGATTCTATTGACTGGTTTGTCAAAAGATGCTGCAGCAAAGGCACTAGTGTGACTTTTCTGAAGAGGAGCTCTCAGAAATGCTCATTGACCAGCTGATCACTTCCACACCGATCAAAGTCTTTTGGAAGAATCTTTGAGCAAGGCAAAAAACACCATGCCATTGACTCATTACTTGAAGATACACCAAAGTATAAAGCCATCGTGACAGACCAACAACACTTAAATGTTTTGAGGGCAGCCAACACGATAACTATGATCAACAAAGTCTTCAACAGATGTAGTTGATTACACTGACCCAAAAGCTACCCATCTTTTCTCGGTATCTGTAAAGCATGTACTGCACAACCAAGGGGCATTGGGTATACATGGTGATGCAAGAACTCTGGTTTGAAAGGCCAAGCCAGGCTGCAAAACAAATCATGGATGACCAACAAAATGGTATAAAACCACAATACTGGCTGCAAAGAAAATGTTAAGAAGGTGCATGAATGCAAGCACATTTATGATGTTCAGAGTCAGCCAAGCAAAGGACAGTTGTCAGAAATGACCAAGCTTTCCGTGATGTTAACCTCACATGCCATATCAATGGTATAATGTGATCAGAGGCTTATATAACTATTAGCAACATATATCCTGAAAAGACAGGTTGGTACACATGAAAACATTAAAAGCTAAAATTGGCAGAGGAGCTAGTGCTGATATATTACCACTATGCATCCTGAAATACATGTGGCTCATCAACTAGCACTTCCTGGCACAGTCTTTGAGAGATTATTTTGCGGTGTCTAATGGATCACGAGTTCCATGCAATGGCAGAATCACAATGCAGTACAGCACTCTAGCTCATCTTGGCTTCCTGAAACCTTTGGCTTGGTAGATTCTAATAGTCCGGTATAGTGCTAAATCATTGGATTCCAGCCATACCTGTTGTGGCAAAACAGACCACATGAAGTTGAAGATGTTCTCAGGGTCGATCTGTTACACTTGGACCAGAGCCAGTGTGAACAGTTACAATCAGTATCTGCCAAAGGTGAGCAACGTTAAGAATTGCAAAGGCTTGTTATCTAAGGATGAGCTGACATTATTAAAGAAGTACCTGAGAACATTTGCTCATTTTGGCCGTACAGAGATAAACTTGGTATATCATAATAAATCACCTTCAAGGCAAACTAGTCCAAATGGCAAATGCATTATGCCAAGCTATCAAGTCTATGTTATACCAAGGACATGTGGCACTTGAATGCTCAAGACAGTTAGGACATGAATCTGTGAACTGGCCCAGTAATGAATCTGGGTATTCAACTACATTTGAATGAACATGAGGCATCCCAAACACATCAATCCCAACCTCAGAGGGAGCTGCTACATCACACATTGCACACTCTTTAGGCAAAAGTAGCAACAGATATGTTCACAATGTGTGCAGCGCACTTGCATTCTTGTGGTGGATTACTTCTCCAATTTCCCACTGGCTGACAATTTAGCAACAGAATTGACATTTTGATTGTTATTTTCAGTTTATGAGGTTTATGTGGATAGTGTCTGACAACAGACTGCAGTTACTGGCAAACTATTTCAAGACATGTATACTAAGTGGGGAGTGACCATTCTTACATCATCACTGCAAAATCTCCACACAAGCAGTCGAGCAGATTGTCTGCGATGTACTTTCAAAACCATGATCATTAAGTGCTGAGCATCAAAACAAGACTTTTGCTTTGCGTTGCTGAATTTTCATGTAGCATGGTATGATCTCAGCTGATGTTATCATTGGACAAGTCAGATCTCGGACAGGATTGATCATATTTTGGTTTGTTTTGGTTTTACTGAAGTGGTTTCTCACTGAAATGTGAGCACGTAATGCTACAGATTTTGCTATATCAATAAAATATTTTGGTTTACAAAACAGTAAAATAAAATAGAATAATCCACACTATCTGCTTATAATACAAATTCAAAGATTGTTGAAGACACATTTAAAATATAATCCCATCAATCTCAAAGCACTCCTTTAAAATTTGAAAAGAAACAAAACGTCATTTGTATACTACCCAAAACACCATCAGTACAGTACCTAAAGCCCCACTCATACTATTCTCACACAAACATCTCTGTAAATAACATGTCAGTAGGTTTCAGTTGCTTGTGGCCTCAATGTTTAGACTGGAACTATGATACTTTCTTCCTGGTGCTGTGACACATCTGCTTAAGAATTCAGTTTAAGGCAATCTCTTTGGGGTTTTATCTCAACATTAATTCCTCACTCAAAGTAACCTAATTGACTATAAGATCATAACATTTACGAGCAGAATTAGGCCATTTAGCCCTCGAATTTGCTCTGCCATTTGATCATGGCTGATATGTTTCTCAGTCCTATTCTCCTCCTTTTTCACATAAACCTTGATCCTCTTACTAATCAAGAACGTATCTGTCTCTGTCTCAAATACACTCAATAACTTGGCCTCCACAATAATGAGCTCCACAGATTAACCACCGTCTAAATGAAGAAGTTCCTCCTCATCTCAGTTCTAAAGGGTCATTGCTTCACTCTGAGGCTGTGTCCTCGGGTCCTAGTGTCTCTTACAAATGGAAACATCTTTTCCATGTCCACTCTATCCAGGCCTCTAAGTATTCTGTAAGTTTCAATCAGATCCCCTCTCATCCTTTTAAAGTCCATCAAGTACAGAACCAGAATCATCAACCACTCCTCATATGACAAGCCCTTCATCCCCAGGATCATTCTTGTAAACCTCCTCTGCACTCCCTTCAAGACCAGCACGTTCTTTCCTAGACATGGGGCTCAAGACTGCTCACGATATTCCAAATGTGGACTGACCAGAGCCTTATACTGCCTCAGCAGTACATTTCTGCTCTTGGTTTTGTAGCCCTCTTGAAATGAATGCTAACATTGCATTTGCCTTCCTAACTGCCAACTGAACCTGCATGTTACCCATAACAGAATCCTGAACTAGGACTCATAAATCCTTTTGTGCTTCAGATTCCTGAAAATTTAGATTAGAAAGTAGTCTGTGCCCCCGTTCTTCCTACCAAATTGTAATTCATCTGCCACTACTTTGCCCACTCTGCTAGCCTGTCCTAGTCCTTCCACAGATTCCTTGCTTCCTCAGCATTACCTGCCCCTCCACTTACCTTTGTGTCATCTAGAAACTTAGCAACAATGCTGTCAGTTCTTTCATCCAGACCTTTAATGTATGAACTGAATAATTGTGGTCCCAGCACAAACCCCTGCGAAACTCTATGTGTCATCAGCTATCCTGAATAAGTCCCCTTTATGCCTGCTCTCTGCTTTCTTCCAGTCAGCTAATCCTCTAACCATGCCAGTGCCTTGCCCTTAACACTATGGGCTGTCTCTCATCTTTTTTGGCAGTCTCCTGTGTGGCACCTTGTCAAAGGTCTGACTCAGCCATTTTACCGTGCACTTCCAAGTACTCCGCAATCTCATCCTTATTAATGGACTCATACATCCTTCCCATCCCAGGAGCATTTTTCTACACAGATATCCTGTTCCAAGGACATTATAGGAGTGCACAGTTAAAGTCAAAAATGAATCTAAAAGTCTGTCTCTCTCAGCTATGGGTATTTCCCATAAGATTTAAAAAAAAATTCCAGAACTTTCTAACAACCTTATTTACTATGCCAGTTCACAAAACCTAAATGAACAAATGTCCATTATTAAAGTGCAAAACCCATTCACCCAAAAGCCCGGCTTCAAAAATTGTTTTTTTTAAAAGAAATCAACCTTGCTACAGAATTACTTCAAAAATTGTTTTTTTTAAAAGAAATCAACCTTGCTACAGAATTACTTATAATTTAATTATTAACAACAGGCACACAAAAAAAATCACTAGTTACTAACTCAAACACCAGAATTCCAAACTAACAACAGCTAACATTAAAATTGTATAGTTTAATTACTGACAGCAATGGAGAAGGTTCAGACATATGTTGTCAATATGTTCAGACAACAAGCCTAAATGATCTTACCAGGGATCCAATTGTCTAATCATTCCAAGACACAGGACCTGCTTACTCAAATACAAAGAAGTCTGAATGAGAAAAACATGAGTGAGGCAGTTGAGAACTACCAAAATTGGGCAGAGATTCTGAGTTTGAAATCCAAACACAAATACTTGGATGCCAGCAAAATTTTCTAAAACTTTGTCCCAGATCACACAAATTCATTATTGATCATGGTGTTACCTTGTGAAGGAACAGGAGTGAGCTCGGATCAATCAGACATGAAGGGTGTGAAGAAATATACTTGGATGAGGATGATTGTGTAGTGATGTTGAATAACAGCAATTAGCAAAAAGATGAGCGAGTTATCAAGCAAGTGCAATCTCCAAACAGCAATACTATAACCAGATCAGAATGAATTGTCAAGCCTTAAAACATTATAGTGAAGTTTGACAATGTAAATCTTATAATTCTGTTTTACCTGTTTATATAATTATTGAATTGACAACACTTGCCTGTGTACAATCGTATATATCTTTGGGATAAATTTTCATCTTTGGAAAACAAAGGGCATATTGTATTATGTTTCAGTCAGTATGCTAATATAACTTTAAAAGACTTGGTCATGATAGCATCATTAAGGTCCCTAATGTCATCTTAACTCTGAGAAGCATGTTTGGTCTTCTGTAACCAATTAACCTAATATTAGTCCAAGACGTTTAGATGTGGCTGTGAATGTAATATTTCTATGTACTATGTTTAACCTTAGTTACTCTTGTATGTTTATAAATGGTGAGTGCTGAAGTATGAGATGATTGTGGTGGGGAAAGATGAACCTGACTTTTGTAATGGAGTGTGCAGCAGATCTCTTTGAGCAAGCAAATTGAAAGATTGTTAAATCAACAGTGATATGGACTGAGAATGAAGTAGAAATTAGAGCAAATGCCAAATCAGGTGCAGCAAGAGAAAAGTAAAGTAAGAGAAAGAATGATTGGATATTGAGAGAGAGTAAGAGACAATCAGAAAGGAAATGATAAAATGAATGCATTAGTCTTCATCCCACCATTAAAAGGGAGCTAAGTCTGAAATGGACAGGGCTTCACTTTCTGTGACAAGTTTGTTTTTGGCATAAATATAACAACTTCACACCATTCATTTCAATCGTGACAAAGATGGTCAAATGCCAGTTTGTGAAGCTAACAGCTGAGTGGCATGGCTCAGACAGCAACCTTTGGATTTTTCAGTTAAACCACCCATCTGGCACTTTCCCTTTAGCACTACTCTGTACCAGTTACCCATAAATAACAGTGAAAGTAAACACACCTGTATTTTGGTGAGAAGATCTGGGCTGTTTATTATTTGTGAAATCAGAATCTTCTGTTACTCAGACTAGGGAAAGCTATTCAATTGAGTGGAATTTACGTGCAGAATTTCTGAGAGTAGGTGTTGGTATTCAGCATCTAATTATTGCTCATCTGTTCTGGCCGTGATCAATGGCTGAATTTGTGTTCCACCTGATACATCAGCTGCTCATGTTATGATCGAAACTGTTAATGGTATTCCCCATTGCAGGTTGCTTTGTTTAACTTGATATGCACAGTGAATATTTAAATTGGCTTCTTTCTCACTTCAGATAACACACTGCCTGTTTTTGTATGCATGGCAACCATTTTGTCAGTATACATTTCTAAATTCAAATGTTCATCACACAAGAATTCAAAACTACATTTACTTCATGGGACAGAGGATGTATTATGAATGTAACATTGGTTTACAGTATCATGTAGTAAGCTGGCTTGGCCTTCTCTCTTTTAATCAGATCCATTGGGACTGTGTTAATCCAAAATATAAGGCAAAAAAGAAGCACTATAAGAACTCTGGAACTGTAATACTGAAAGATTGTAAGGTAAGATACAAAGGGATGCAATTATCATGGAGTAATCTTGATTTATGCAAGGGGCATCCTAGAACTTAACTTTTCCCTACAAAACAGTAACTATAGTTCAAAAGTGAAGGGAATATTTTTTTAAAAGTTTTGTGCAGTGTATGACTGCCTGCTGTGTTGAGCAAGGTTTTCTGATAATAAACATTGTTTCTCTCTAAGTAGCATGGATCTGCTTGCAGCTGATTTCACTCAGTTTTCCGATCTGAATTCAGGAAAAATGTAAAACTTGAAAATCAGTGTTTAATTTGTCTCATGAAATTTCTAACATGTCTTCAAATATTGCTTAATTAAGAATAAAACACTGAATTAAAGAGTGAAAAACTGAGAAAAAACTATGAAGCACAGTCTGTGATTTTTGTATTTTATACAATCAACTTCTAAAATTATGCAAAGTAAGATGTCATTTAAACAGCCAGCAAAGATGAGTTTCCACTAATTGCTATCTGCTTGGTTAAATTATTTTATGTTACTCAGTCTTTACAGTCACGAGAAAATCAGTTAGAAATGCTATAAACTCCATTTAACTTGGGCCACCTTCAGCTATATCATGACATTTCGATTGACATAGTTGGTTTCACACAAACATTCATAAGCATTCTGGTACTGAATTAAAACCTTGCATTCATTCTTAAAATAAGCTTTAACACATCAAAATTTAAAGCGATTATTGTTGATTGTCATCAAGAAACACAGATGAATTAAAAGCTGCCCATCAGCAGGATTTGATCCAATCTGCATAAATGACAAATATCAATCTTGAACACATAATGACAGTTTAGAGATGATGCCAAGTTATTAGTCATTGTATTAAAATGGTTGAGTTAAACATTTTTGGACTAACTCTGTATTTTTGTGTTTTGAAGTTGCACAGGATCTATTCCTTTTTAGACTACATAATGGGCGGATGTCAGATTCACTTTACGGTAGGTGAACAGTTATTATGCTTTTAAAACTATTTCCCAGTGATGTTTTTCTTGTCTCTGGAAGATGGATGATTGATAACTTTTATGTTGTAGAGTGTAAGCATTTATTGTGAGTTTGCCAAAAGTTTTCATTTGACATTAATCATTCTTCTAAAAGTGTTATAATGACAGCAACTCCTGGTTTCCAAGCCAAGTTCCTAATTAAATTGTGGAACATTTGCATTTGGATTTATTTTTGTCAGTTTTATTTTCTTTTTGAAGAGGAAAGAATGTTGAAAAGAATTGCAAAATAAAATTAATTCTGGTTTTTGAAATGTTGAAACAAAAAAGTAGCCATCAGAGCCTAGTGTCTTTAACTTCACAGATTTTCATTTCATTCCAGACCAAGGGTATCAGTTAGTAATAGAAAGGCTTCTGTTGTTGCTGAATTGGCCAGTGAATAGTTACACTACAGAATACAGTTGTGAGTGACTATATGCACTCAGTCAGTGCAAACCTGTGACTTTGTCATTCTGACAAATTGTGGAAGCATCTAGCAAAATGTTTTGCCAAAGGTTTTGGTGCCTTTGGGTGACAGCTGTGGTATAACTATGGCCTGAATCTTGCAATATTTTAGCAAAATGTAATTTTCATTGATTTTCATGTAGAGTTTCTGCCTGCAAGGCCTAGCAGGTTTTTCCACACTATCCTCCCACACTTAACCCATTAACTACCTACTCCAATGGCACCCCTCAGTGTGAGTCTGATTCTACCACTCACCATTGTTGGAAGTGCTCACCACTGCTGGGATATCCCTGATTAGACCTTTACCTCTGGCACTGGTGCCACCTTGGAACCCTGGCTGTGCACCTGATCGTGCGTGGGCATTGTTCACTCACAGTGTCCTGGAATATCCTCTGCCTGTGCCAACACTGTGCCTCACATGTAGGAAATGATATCAAGGACGGATGATTCTGGCCTTCCTCAGTCTCCCACACCCCCTGAGGGATGATTCAGGTGAGGTGTCTTCACATGGTTTCTGTTCGGTTTCTGCTACAGGCTCCTGTTGGTCCTGGGCTTGTTGGGCACATCTGTTCCTCCACCATCTCCCTGCACCTTCATTGCATGGTAGCAACAGCAGCAATGAGTCCTGTTGAGGCTAGGCCCATCAATCAATGACTTGCAATGAACCTTTGTTGGGATCATAAGGGGCAGAACATGTTCTCAGCAATGAAAGCAGTCAACAATTACATCCCATACAAATGATGGCTTAACATATTCCACTTTGGATTGAGACACGGAGCATTCCCACAAGAAGGCCATGCAATGACTCTTCTTCGCATGACTGATCATGCCCAAGTCTGTCCTTGACTAACTGCTACTAGGAGACCCTGTATCGTACAGTATTGTAAATCTGAAACTGTTCCTGTATCTACAGCATTAGATGTTTATCACCAGCTTCAACATTAACTCACTTCGGCACTGACACACTGGCATCTAGAAGATGCACTGCAGTAATTCACCAAACCTCCTTGGTCAGCACTTTTCAAACGTGCAACCGCTACCACCTCTAGAAGGACAAGCAGAGGTTTTGGAACATCACCACCTGAAAATTTCCCTCCCATCTGCGGTCTGACATGGAGCTACATCATCATTCCTTTATAGTTGCCAGGTCAAAATCCTGGAAATTCCTTCCTAACAGCAAGGGCTGTAGCTCAACATCACTTTCTCTGGGGTAATTAGGGATCGGTAATAGATGCTGACTTAGGCAGTGAAGTCCAAATCACATGAATGAAATAAAATAATTATTTCAGTAAATCTACATAATTCCTAAAATTCTATAGATGATGTTGGCTGTTATTTGCTGGAACAGAAGAGTGGAAATTTGGGCTTTGTAAGGCTTCTGCCCCATTTATGTTCAAATACTGCCAAAAGGAGGTAAGTGGATGAAACATCTGTTCAATAAACAGTGCAAGCATCCAAATAATGGAATTAAATTGCGATGCTATAACTCGCCCTCATTCCATCTTTGATTCTATTCTGATCAGCTCACTTTGCGAAGTAGCACCCTTGTCATGAGCAACTGATAGACATGAGTGCGGTGGTGTCCTGAAGACAAACTACTGATCGTTTCTTGGGAAAAAAATGGGCAAGAACTCTGCTTTGCTGCTTCATCTTTTGTCTTTTGCTTTGCTCTTGATCTGAAGCCTTCAGATTGAAATTCCAAGTTTCTGAAGATGATTTTGTCAGTGAGAAATATTGGCCACCATACACCACAGCTTCTAAAATGAGATTCCTAAATACTTTCATTGATACACCTACCTTTTGGAGGAAGATGAAATGAAGAAGCTACCCAGGGAGCTCTGTTTTGTCAGATAGCACCGAGAAGAGCCATGGCCTGCTAGACCCTGCCAATGGGATACATAGACTTTGGAAATTCTTCATAAACGTTTCTAGAGCATGATCTCTGCAAGTTGTGATTCAGCATAGAACAGGATATCTGTCTTCTGCTACAGTCAGCGTTCCAGAGCAACATCTGTGAGTGCAGAAAAGTGGTGGGGCAAAACTTTTATTCAATCATTCATTCTGAGGAAGAACTGATCATTTCCTTTACATTCCTTGTATACTTGCCTCAGTGACTACTGCTCGGTGACTCTGACCTCCATAATTATAAAATGCTTTGAAAGGTTAGTCATGGCTGACATTAACTCCAGCCTACCAAACTGCCTTGATCCTTTGCAACTCACCTCCCGGTGCATCAGCTCCATGGCAGATGCCATCTCCCTGGCCCTACACTCATCACTGGAACATCTGTCTAACTAGGATACCTACATCAGGCTCCTACTTACTGATTACAGCTCCACCTTCAACACCATAATTCCAAACAAACTCGTCTCTAAACTCCAAGGCCTAGGTCTTGGCAACTCCCTGTGTAACTGGATCCTCGACTTTCTGATACATGGACCTCAATCAGTAAGAATAGGTGACAACACCACCTCCACAATAATTCTCAACACTGCTGCTCTGCAAGGCTGTGTACTCAGCTCCCTACTATACTCCTTATACACTCACAACTGTGTGGCCAAATTCCACACCAACTCCATTTACAAGTTTGCTGATGACACCACCATCATAGGGTGGATATCAAACAGCGACAAGACAGAATACAGGAAAGAGACTTGAGTGCTCAGCAACATGGCGTAAAGACAAAAATTTCTCCATCAATGTCAACAAAATGAAAGAGCTGGTCATTGATTTTAGGAAGCGGAGTGGAAGACACGGTCCTCAAAGATGCTGAGGTGGAGATGGTTGAGAATATCAAGTTCCTAGGAATGATGTTCAGCAACAAACTGTCCTGGTCCATCCATGTCAACGCAGTGGTCAAGAAAGCACAAAAATATCTGTACTTCCTCAGGAGGCAAAGAAAATTCAGCATGTCCTCAAAGACTCTTACCAATTTTATAGATGCACCATAGAAAGCATCCTATGTTGGCAACTGCTGTTCTCAAGACTGCAAGAAACCAGAAAGTTGTGAACATAGCCCAATCCATCCTGCAAATCAGTCTCCATCCATTGACTCCACTTATACTTCCCGCTGCATTGGGAAAGCAGCCAACATAATCAAAGAATCCCCCAACCCTTGTTATACTCTCTTCTACTCTCTTCCTTCGGTCAGAAGATATAAAAGTTTGTATATACGTATGAATAGATTCAAGAACAGCTTCTTCCCCACTGTTATTAAACTTCTGATTTGACCTCTCAAATTTTAAATTTAATGTTGATCTCACTCTCTGTGCACCTTCTCTGCAGCTGTAACATTGTATTCTTGATCTGTTCTATTACCTTAATGCACTTTGTATTGTATGATCTGCCTGAACTACATGCAAAACAAAACATTTTTCTGTACCTAGGTACATGTGACAATGATAAATCAAAGTAAAGCAAGCCACTAATACTCAATTTGCCAAGGTTACCAAATAATGGAGATAGTGCTCCCAGGTATCCTGGAACAAAGAACTCTTTTCAAATGGCCATATCTGTACCAATGACAATAGTCAACGTGACATCGATAGAAAGGAATTTCACTCCCTGAGCATTCAAATGATTTGTATTTACAGTTATCAGTCCTTTCATATGAACATTCATGTGTGATTGTATTTGCCACCATCTTTTCATCCTCGGGTATTAGAAAGCTTTTGCTTGTTTATTTTTTTCATATTGATAGTCTCTGGGAAACAAAGGCTGCCTTGCTGCTCTCCTGGCTTGTAACATCCCTTGGCTGCAGCAGTTCAGTGGTGCCACATTTAATCCAGAATTGAAATGAACTGCAGGAACATTAAACAAATGCTTATTTTTGGTATGGAAATCTACAGTAGGATCGTATTCCTGTTTCAAGGATTGTGGCCTGATTTGCCCTCTTTAATCTCCAGAAAATCTGGAGGGTAAATGTCCCAGAGGAGGAACGGGAGGCAGATGTTGACGACTTTGAAACAGAAGATCAGACACAGGAAGACAAAGCACCAGAAGCATAAACAACACCAGCAGCAGAACTGCCAAGGAAGCTTATTTGAAGTGCCTTCACTGATCCTGTTGCAACACATTGCCAATAACAGCAGCACCCAGAAGAAACAGTGTTTTCCGAAAGATATGTGTTTCTTGCTGGTTTCCAACATTGGCAGAAAGAATTTATGCCAATACTTTAGTCCTTTAATAATCCCAAGGAGTCAAATGTTCACACTGTTCTGCCAACAATGAAAGAATGCCCTCACAGATTTTTCCATTTGCTGCCAGGCCTTCCATGTACAGTACTGGTATTGTTTCCCCACCATCACCGTCCTTTCCGGCCATCCTTTCTGATTGACCAATTTTTAATCAGCATTAGCTACTCAAATGGCTTGAGCTTTCTGTCGTTGTCGTTGAACAATTAGTACCCACTGGCCGCTGCTCACTATCTGATGTGCAGGTTCTAAAAATTGTCCCCCTAGTGTCGAACTGAAAAAGAAACTGGAAATCACCAGATTTTTCTTAACAATTATGCATGAGTAGAGGGATTGAATTTTAGAAAAAACTGCGTTCAAAAGATTGAGTTCATTAATTCTATGCAATCTGTTTATAGATCTCTGTACTTTTTTATAGGCATTGGCTTCAATGTTTCTTTTCCCTTTAACAAAGGGTTCATGCCTCAGATTTCTGCTGCAATAGATCTGTAATAGTGCTATTATTTTTGACATATTTTACATGCTTTTATTTAGAACATTGTGCATCAGTATGAGTTTCTGAAGAAATAAAGCATCCAGGGCCTAGTGCTGTTAATTATGAATTGCCACCTTCTATTTTAGGTAGCCATTGACTTCACAGCTTCGAATGGAGACCCACGAAACAGCTGTTCCTTGCATTACATCAATCCCTACCAGCCCAATGAGTATCTGAAAGCACTAATCTCTGTTGGTGAAATCTGTCAAGACTACGACAGGTACTGCTAACCGTCTGCCATAAAGTAACCTTACGCCACATTACACCAGTATGTTAGTAATAATGGGGCTCTTTAATCTTTGTTGGCATTTTTAATAGACCAAAACAATTGTCTTTCATTTGAACTTACAAAAATAATGAACGTTGCACTTTGATAGAATCTTAGTCACTTCCTATGTTTCAATTTTGCATGATTGGAGCTGAAATTATTAACAAGCCAGTTTAGCTACTTAATGGAATAGAATAGTAAAATTAAAATTGAGGAGCAATTACAAAATCCCTGTCATTTATTGAGAAAAATGGAATTTATTGGAACTCCCGAATTTAGTTACAGTTATTATAATGTCTATCAGGGTGAATTATAATTCTTAAGCAACTAGACTTGTTTAAATATTTAGTCTATTTAGAGTCAATAGGCAGTTCTAAACCATGCACAAATTCAAGAAGGTTACTATTTAATCTAGATCAACTGAACAAGGCTTTTAAAATATTTGCTTATGAATCCTTAACATGTTTCCATGAATTTCCATTTTGACAATCTCTGCAAATGTTGCTTATCTTAATGGATGACACTCCATTAAAATACAGGAAAAGGAATTTCACAAATGGAACAATTCAAGTCTCTAGTTTATCACCATGATGGGTTATTGTTTTTGCCACTAATGGCCAAGTATGCTGTCTCTGACAGTTGCTCATCTCCTTCTCTTCCCCTCTAGAGACCCACAATCTCTTTGTGTCCTCCAAATGAAATACTGGGATGCTAGATAGGTAGTTAATTAGCTGTAGTCTACAAGCGATCATAGATTTCTCCATTAAAGTGAGACAATTGGTTATGTAGATTGAATAGTATTATTCCACATTGAGCATTGGGCAGGCAAGGAGGCAGGTGTAGCCAGAATGGGAATTGAACCCACACTCTTTTCATTATTCCGAACCATGCACCAGCCATCTCAATTAACTAACCTCCAAATTGGGATCTTAGGCCACTTTAATGTTTCAACATGACTAAAAGTGTCTTAAGTTCCCAGTTCATGACTTCAGAGATGGTACACTCAGTCTAAAATCCACATATGAGATTTTTAAAAAATGCTTTATGATTGATGAACCATGAATTAGCAGTCTTTCAGATTGGATATGACTATGTTTTTAAGGAAAAATTTAACCTAATATAATTTATACCGTCAATACATTAATCATTTCTGTGGAAATGGTTTCACTGTCATTAGGTATACATCCCACCTAATTTTTATTTCTATTGAAATTTTATACCTCGCTGACTGTGTATCATCTGTCCTATATCTCCCAGTGTAGTTACTTACAGTCAAACCAATTATACCTTTTGCTCATGTGACAAGTCAGAACTCAATGCTCAATCTCCCTTTTACGGCAATATTTCCTCCTGAATACTTTGGCCATTCGCAGGGGACTACAATAGAAAATATAAGATAAGCAGTGAGAATTTGTGGAAAATTAACTATTAGTAGGGCATAGCTTGTGGTTGGATTGAGTGTCAGAGCCATATAGTGAGTTACAACTTACATTACAAGTAGCTTTTTTCAAAGAGCAGTGTTGCCATCTATTCACATGGTGCATGAGTGATCATTCTGGAACAGCTACATCACAAGTGTTTTATAGCTTCCATACGATTCAGACTGACCCTCAAAAGTTGAACAGAATAATTTTGGGGAAGTAGCAATCCTTATTTATAGTTTGACATCCAGTATTTGGCACTGTAGTGTGAGCAGATGGTTGCGTACAAATGAAATTCAAAACTGGCATCAAATAAAACTGATGAAAGCATTCAAACCATTAGGCAGCATTCACTGAAGGAACAGGGGGAAGAAATAACAAGTGAAATAAAGGGAAGGGAAACTAAAGCTGTGGTGATATTTCTGCTGATGAAGTGGGGAAGGTGCTAAACATGGAGGTTGTGATGAAGACTTTCCTCTGTGCCACACAACATCAGTATATTGCACAGCCACCTGCCATGCCAATCACGGGTGCATTTTATCTATCCTATCTGGACTATCTACAGCAGACACCTCAAGGCACTGGATCAGTATCATCAACGCTGCCCGCGCAAGATCCTGCAAATCCGCTGGGAAGAAAGACACACCAACACCAGCGTCCTCGACCAGGCCAACATCCCCAGCATTGAGGCATTGACCGCCCTGATTGGCTATGATTGCCTGGGCATGTCATCCACATCACTGACACAAAGCTCCCCAGGCAGATATTCTACTCTCAGCTTTGAAACAGCAGGCGGACAGAGGAAGCGCTTCACTGACACCTTCAAGGCCTCACTGGTGAAGTGTGGCATTCCTCCACACAACTGGGAATCCCCCGCCCAAGACTGTCCAGAGTGGATTAGGAGCATTTGGGAAGGCATCAAGGATCTCGAGACTTGCCATCAGAAAAAAGCAGAAGCCGGGCGAAAACAACATAAGGAGCGCGCTGCCATACCAATGCCCCACCCATCCCTTCCCGTGTCCCAAGTGTAACAGAGCCTGCAGTAGCCACATTGGTCTGTACAGCCACCTACAGTCTCGCCCTGAGAGTGGAAGAGAGTCATCCTGGTCTGCGGGGGCCCGCCGATGAGTGAATTATCTACCTGCAGGGTTCCTTGTAGCGGATGCTGACACTTCCTCTGCTTACCTGAATCTGATGATTAATTGCTGTTGTTCCTATCAAGGATAGATCCCTTGCCTGCAGACATTTTGCTACCTAAAACTGCCATGTTTTATGTGGAGTAGGAGGAGGCCATTCAGCCCCTCAAGTGTGCCCTGTGATTCAATAACATCCTGGTTGATTTGCCACGGGCATAACTTCTCTTTCATACCGGCTCCTTATAGCTCTCAACTCCTCAATATTTCAAAAATCTCTCTACCACGCTCCCCCCCAACCGTTTAAATTCTTCCAGTGATCTAACCTCCACAATTCTTTGGGATAGAGAATTTCATTCACTGTCCTCTGGGAGAAAAAATTCCTTTGCCACACAGTTTGAAATGAGCATCCCCTTATTCCGTAGCAATGTCTCCTAGCTCAGGCTCCCTCACTAGTGGAAGCATTTTCTCAATATCTACCCTGCCAAGCCCCTGTCAATTGCAAGTCATTTGATTTCCGTTCCAAAATATTTCAATTATGTTGAACACACTGTGAGACATTTGCCTTTTACAAACTGTTACTTATGTAGATGTGTACAGCCACTATAACATTAAATGTTTAATATCAAGTAACGTACTACAATTAGTCTTAATTCAGGTGACATGAACCTCGATTTATGTTCAAGCAATAATATTTCACAACCCAGCAATACTTCAGAAGTTGAAATACAAGCAGTTAAGACACTTAACAAAATGGCAATTGTAAATAATGAATGAGCAACATCAGTCAGAAACAATGGATGGAATATAATCCGGCCCATTGTGCCAAGGAACTTTCCAGCTAGGCCCAAATGCTAGTCTCTTTGTAGTAGGTATACCTGGCAGGATTAAGCCAGAGATAGTAGGAACTGCAGATGCTGGAAAATCTGAGATAACAAGGTGTAGAGCTGGATGAACACAGCAGGCCAAGCAGCATCATAGGAGCAGAGATAGTAGGAACTGCAGATGCTGGAGAATCCGAGACAACAAGGTGCAGGGCTGGATGAACACAGCAGGCCAAGCAGCATCATAGGAGCAGTAAGGCTGACGTTTTGGGCCTAGACCCTTCATCAGAAATGGGGGAGGGGAAGGGGGTTCTGAAATAAATAGGGAGAGAGGGGGAGGCGGATAGAAGATGGATAGAGGAGAAGATAGGTGGAGAGGAAACAGACAGGTCAAAGAGGCGGGAATGGAGCCAGTAAAGGTGAGTGTAGGTGGGGAGGTAGGGAGGAGATAGGTCAGTCCAGGGAGGACGGACAGGTCAAGGGGGCGGGATGAGGTTAGTAGGTAGGAGATGGGGGTGCGGCTTGAGGTGGGAGGAGGGGATAGGTGGGAGGAAGAACAGGTTAGGGAGGCGGGGACGAGCTGGGCTGGTTTTGGGATGCGGTAGAGGGAGGGGAGATTTTGAAGCTTGTGAAATCCACATTGATACCATTGGGCTGCAGGGTTCCCAAGCGGAATATGAGTTGCTGTTCCTGCAACCTTCGGGTGGCATCATTGTGGCACTGCAGGAGGCCCAGGATGGACATGTCATCTGAGGAATGGGAGGGGGAGTTGAAATGGTTCGCGACTGGGAGGAGCAGTTGTTTATTGCGAACCGAGCGTAGGTGTTCTGCAAAGCGGTCCCCGAGCCTCCGCTTGGTTTCCCCGATGTAGAGGAGGCCACAACGGGTACAGCGGATGCAGTATACCACATTAGCAGATGTGCAGATGAATGTCTGCTTGATGTGGAAAGTCTTCTTGGGGCCTGGGATGGGGGTGAGGGAGGAGGTGTGGGGGCAGGTGTAGCACTTCCTGCGGTTGCAGGGAAAAGTGCTGAGGGTGGTGGGGCTGGAGGGGAGTGTGGAATGGACAAGGGAGTCACGGAGAGAGTGATCCCTCTGGAAAGCAGATAAGGATGGGGAGGGAAAAATGTCTTTGGTGGTGGGGTCGGATTGCAGATGGCGGAAGTGTCCGAGGATGATGCGTTGGTGGGGTGGTACATGAGGACGAGGGGAATTCTTTTTTGGTTGTTATTGCGGGGACAGGGTGTGAGGGATGAGTTGTGGGAAATGCGTGAGATATGGTCGAGGGTGTTCTCGACCACTGAGGGGGAGAAGTTGCGGTCCTTGAAAAACGAGGACATCTGAGATGTATGGGAGTGGAATGCCTCATCCTGGGAGCAGATGCGGCGCAGGTGAAGGAATTGGGAATAGGGGATGGCATTTTTGCAGGAAGGTGGGTGAGAGGAGGTGTATTCTAGGTAGCTGTGGGAGTCTGTGGGCTTGAAATGGATATCGGTTTCTAGGTGGTTGCCCGAAATGGAGACAGAGAGGTCCAGGAAGGTGAGAGAGGTATTAGAGATGGCCCAGGTGAACTT